TATAGTCCAAATGAGAGCTGATAACAACCTGAGCCCAGTCTTTCACTCATGATAGGAATGGAAAGGGGAGGATACATTTGAGAAAGATTTAAAGAAATAGTGTTAACATAATTTGGTGTTGAGGATGTTTTTTCCTTGAAAGTATAGTTCAAACATTTTGAAATAACCAAAACCTCTCTGAAATTGAAAACAGTTCAGCATAAATGTTTAATTTCTTACTGCACTTTTTAGCCATTGAAGTAGTTGTTTTATGAATCCTTTTCTCAACCTTTAAAAAAATATTATCCAGGGACCAGCCCAGTGGTGTAATGGTTAAGTTCATGCTCTCCGCTTTGGTAGCCCGGGGTTCGCGGGTTCGGATCCCGGGTGCGGACGTACACACCACTCGTCAAGCCATGCCGTGGCAGTGTCACATATACAAAGTAGAGGAGGATGGGCACAGATATTAGCTCAGGTACAATATTCCTCACCAAAAAATAAATAAATAAATAAATATACATACACACACACACATATATATATGTAATCCAGAAATATCTTTGTCTCAGGAAATTAAGTTTTTATCTCATGACTGATTTATAGTTTAATTACACCCACACTAGTTTTTATACATCCACCCTCTTCCCTATTAAATACCTGTTAATTCCAAGGAGTTTTAGTAATCTAGATAAACTGGGCTTATCTAAGAACCAGAAAACTCTATTTACCTCACAACTATTTGTGTTTTTCAACACATATGATAGAATTGAAAAGAACTTTTCGTTATACTGAACTTATGGTGGGTAAGAAGTATAAACAAGAGCATCAAAACATTTTTTTAATGTTTAGATTTTTCATACTGTAAAAATAGCCTTTAATCTCTGCCATGAGACCTCTACCCTGATTTTAGAAAGTAAAAGTAAAAATCCTAACCTTCTATGAAAGCACACATATATGTTTTCTACAAACTTGATCAAAAAAAAATCTCATAAATTTTACCAGTGGAAACTACTTTTTCTTTTCCTTTGAACTATTTTGTGGCTTAATAATAAAGACTATGTGTTTTAAATCTTTTTTTTTTTTTTTAAAGATTTTATTTATTTATTTTCCCCCCAAAGCCCCAGTAGATAGTTGTATGTCATAGCTGCAGATCCTTCTAGTTGCTGTATGTGGGACACGGCCTCAGCATGGCCGGAGAAGCGGTGCATCGGTGCGCGCCCGGGATCCGAACCCGGGCCGCCAGCAGTGGAGCACGCACACTTAACCGCTAAGCCACGGGGCCGGCCCTGTTTTAAATCTTGAAAGAGCTTTTACAATAAGCTTAAGTTTCAAGATTTTATGATGTAATTATTCGCTTCTTTTTTTCTCAGTTCCTCTCCCTATCCTCAATTACACCAACCCGATACTAATAGGCTCTTTTGTTGTTGTTGTTATTCAATGCTGTCTGTTTAATTGTAGGACATCTCAATCCATTTAGAAGTAAGATAGTGCATATATACATATACACATACCTACATGTATAAATGTAGTTGTGACCATAAAAATAAATCCTTATTTTTTATTATCTAAATAAATATAGTTTTAAAGTGACATGGCGGTGAGATTAGATAATCAGCACTGAATTCTCTGGTGTCAGGTGTCAGGGTTATTCTAAGTACAATGATTCCGTTAATTTTCTTAAAGCATCAATATCCTTGCATATAATCTCCTTTTCTACAAGGCACATTTATTGGCTCCCTCCTGTGTACTCCCTTAGTATGTTGTACACACCTCTTATCAAGTGTTACTGTATTGTAGTTATTTATTTACAGATCTGTCTCTCTCACTAGACAGAATTCCTTTAGGGAGGGGACCATGTCTTATTCATGTTTGGATCCCTAGTATATATCACAGTGCCTACCACATATTCAGCATTCAGTTAACATATATCAAGTATGCCTTCATTCAATAAGTAATTTTTACACTCAAAGAATCTAGGAGTGAGTGTTGAATGAGAAAATTACCACAGATATCCTTTAAAAAAGCATATTGCATTTTAAAAATGGTTTGTAAATTGATTTACGCACAGGCTGTCAGTAATGCATCCACTTGCACACATCATTAACTTGGATAATTCAGAGTCATTATAATTAAAGCACTTTGGGTTTCAAATTTATTAAGAAATGTTGAGACGTACGAAAAGATATAAAGAGTACTCTGATAAACCTTCATGTGCCCACCATCCGGTTTAAGGAATAAAACATTAGCAGTACTGCTAAAGCTCACGTATACCTCTCCCCAGTCTCATCCCACTTCCATCCCCAGCCTGGATTTGGTGATGTTAATCTTTCCAGCACATTTCCTTACACTTTTACTACTTATGCTTGTATTCTGAACAATATGCAGCATTGTATGGCATGTTTTCAAACTATTATATGGATAGTATCGTACTGTGTGTATTCATTTGTACCCTTTTCCCCTCAACAGTATATTTGTTAGATTCATCCTTGTTGATAGCTGTATTTCTAATTTATTTATTTTCATGGCTCTATTCCACTGAATGAATATAACTATGTAATCATTTTCCTGTTGATGGACATTTAGGATGTTTTCATGGATTTCTATTTGCTGAATTACCTTGGTTATTTTTTCATGATTGACCTTGCTTCTGAAGAAAATTTGAAGCAACTTATAGTTAAACAGAAAACACTTAAACCAAAATAAAGACAAGTACCATGTTATTTCAGAAAACCTAGACTAAGATCTTACATCATCTAAGTCTAAGGATATATAGACCTCCTCCCACACAAGATTACTATTCCCATCAGCAATATTACTACACATATATGAAAATAATACATTACCTTTTAGATGTTAAAAATTAATTTTGACCTTAATTAAGGAAGATAAATTGTTCAAATTACATACCAAACTGACATTCATCTTCAATTTTGAAAAGTTTCTTTTGTGTAATAATCAGGCAATAAATCTCCAGACTTCAGATGATTGCACTTTTAAAGCAAAATGTATAGACAGTGATGAATTGCAGAATGACAAGATATTTAGCCAACTACAAGCAAAATCAGGTGCAGATAAGTTCTGACACTAAAATTTGTGACAAAATGTTTTTAAAAACAGCTCAATTGTCTTAGTTTGTATCAACAAGGGAGGTCCTCTGAAACGTAACTGCTCAATCCCTTTATCAGTGTTTGGACAAATTACTAAAATATCTAGCCCTCTGAAGGCTTTACCCTATTTATAAGTTGTAGTTATTGGCCTCTACCCAGATTCAGATGTTAGAGATTAACCTAAAAGCTGAGTCCTGATTGAAACAGATTTAGGTAGACTAGCCGCTGAGCCTTTCCAATTCACATTGCTGTAATCTATTAGATTTCACTGAATGAGACACATGAGGATGCTATAATAAAAACCTTTGATAAAGGGTCCCTAGAGTCAAGGTGTATGCTGATGGCATCATGTTTCTCAGTCCATAGAGGTGCTTACATAAGTTAAGAAAATGTATGCCAATTTCATGTCATACTTAGAACTGACTCGGTATTCCCGAGTAAGATTGTCCATCAGGAAATTGAGTGGCCTGTGGCTTAAGGAGGTATTGTTTTTCTTGTAAATTCTTTGTTTTCATGAAAAGGCTCTTTGATTCTCAGAATGTATTTGTTTCAGGGTAATTCAGTTTGAATTCAATCATGCTGAGAAGTCTCCTGAAAAGCCTTCGTTAAAGTTTTACAGTGTATGTTTTACAGACAACCACACCTGATGAATTTGGAAAAGTCTTTCATATAACATCAATTTTAATAATCAGAGCTTGGTTTCTAAAGCCTACATGGTTATATCTGGAATATATAATTAATAGCAATGTGGAATATATAATTAATAGCAATGATATTTTCAAAATAGCACTAACCTTTTTAATAACAGATCTTTCTTAATACTATTAAGAAGCAAATGCATAGCTGTCAGTTATGGGTGAAGGGATTCAGCTTCAAAATAATTTTGTTTATAAGCTTTCTTGCAGTTTAGATATGCTGCCATCAGGTGGTAGTAATATGTCATATCCATGTGACTCCACAGATGACATTCTGCTTAAGGTCATCGAGTTTGCCCCACAAATATTTGTAATCATGAATGCACAGATTTTTATATGAAAATTAAAATAACAGGGTATATCTTTTTAGTTTCAGAGCTAAGGATACTTTGAATGGAGTTTTTAAAACATATATATTGGAAGATTCAATCGGGCATGTTTTCTGTTTTTAGTTTATTTAATTTTTTTTGGTAAATGAAGAGTTTCATCTTATGCCTTCTAAAAATTTAGAAAATATAGAAAAGTGAAATTAAAAGCACCAAATTTCATCACTCAAAGATAGTTGCTATTAACCTTTTGTTTCATTTCCTTCTTGTCTTTTTTTTTACATGCAATTTTTAGTATGTTTTTGTTTTTTAGAGTGGACTTCGATGGCAGGAAAAGGTACTTAGCTATAGTAACAGTGTAAATGCAGCATGTATGTTTTATAACCTTTAAAATTACAAACTCTTTGTATCTGCTTTGTCACTTCTTAATATTCTATTGATTGAAGTTTACCATAATTTTATATAGTCATTTACCTATTATTAGATAATGTACGTTTCTGATCTTCATTAATCAAGAGTATTTTATCTCTACCTTCCATCCACTGCCTATCAGGAGGACCATTACTTCATTGCATCTGTGCTTGATTTTTGTTTTAACACAAAAGAATTTCTAATTCATCTCTGAGTAGCTAGATATCTTATATTTCTGCTATTGCATTTGAAATGAAACTTCCAGAAAATTTGAACTTTCAGTTTTCAATTATGAATGAAAATATATAATCTGTTATTATTTTCATATCATATAAATAGTTTATAACTTTTTGAATATTTTATAATTTTATAAATTGTATGCAACCAGGTACAAAATACAAACATTTCAGGGCCTGTGATATTATGAGATGGAACCATTACCTACTTCTTACCAAAATAATTTTTTCTTTTCTTTTTTATAGCATAGAACATTGCATTAAAGAAATACAGTCCGAAGTTAACAAACAATGCCCAGATGTGCAGCTGCAAACAACAAGTGACTGTTTTGAGTGGCTAAATGACTATAATTATAATTCGTTCAAGTCACCTTCCATTTCCCATGGAGATTTGATAAAATTCCTCAAAACATTGGTAAAAAAAAGAATCTTTGCTTTGTAGTGGAGTGGGGTGGGTGAACAAGAAATACAATTCATTCAATTTCACTATGTGTATATTTATTTATTTATTTTTGTGTGTGTGTGAGAAAGATTGGCCCTGAGCTAACATCTGCCAATCCTCTTCCTTTTTTTGCTGAGGAACACTGGCCCTGGGCTAACATCCATGCCCATCTTCCTCCACTTTATATGGGAGGCCGCCACAGCACAGCTTGACAAGTGGTGCGTCGGCGCACGCCCGGGATACGAACCACCTAACCCTGGGCCAGCGCAGCAGAGCGCGCACACTTAACGGCTTGTGCCACCAGGCCGGTCCCTCACTATGTGTATATTTATTTTAGTGACCATATTAGCCTGCCGTATATTGGAGTTGGGGCTTGTGTTTTGTTTTGTTTCTGTATCCCCAGTGGAATCCAGTGAGCTATTTGTTTTTATTTTTTATTATGATTTTTATCAATAAAATGAAATTTTATATAAATAAAGATTAAACATTATAATTCCTGGGTGATTTGTGGTGTGATGTATACCATATCAGCACCGCAAAGTATGATATGTACCACAATTATCTACCAGAAGAGGTTTATATTTATTACATTTTGTGTCTTTTCATAACTACTCGTTTTCTCTGTGCTCATTATTAAACATAATAAGATCGCCATCAATTTATCTATTAAGTTAGCCTTGTCTATAATTCCCTTCATCCCCAACCTGCAGGCATATCCAGTTCTTTTCAATCAAGGAGGCAACTTATACAAGACCACTGTTAATTGATGGTGAATCATCACATTGGTCCTTCCTTGATACTGACCACACTCCATGTTAGAGAAGTTTTTGTAGCCTTCAGTACAAAGGCTTTTTTAAAATTTTTATTTTATTGCATCTACATCTATAATCGTGGCTAGCTTGCAAAAACAGTTTCCCAAAGAAACAGCACAATTGTTAGAAAGCAGTATTTCTATAGCTATGGTTTTAATTTAATTTAGAGGAAAAAAGGCACTGTTTTTGTCTAAACATCAAACATTGACTAACGCAGATGTGGAAAATATCTTGAGGTTGTAGATGGCTTAGGATGACAGAATCCGATGAAAATAGTTTTTGGCTGTTGTTATTATTGCAGATGTCTCTTTAATGTTTACAAAGTAATAAAAGGAAGAGAAAGGAAGACTATGTGCCCTGAAGCCTTATTCTTTTAAGAAAATCCTCTCACCCATTATCTCTTGAAGGTGGAGCCTTGAAGAATAAATATGGATATAGTTATTCCTTTAATTTCTATTAAGAGCCATGTATATTGAATTTCATTAATATTAATGTAATAATGCTTTCTCATTTAATTAAAAGCAAAAGCTTTTAATTATCTTTTAATCTGTCACACATAAGTCATTCTCTATTCACTGCAGGGCAAAGGCTGCCTTAGTTTTGCTCAAATTCATTAGACTGATAGGCTTGTTCCAGACCTCGGTTTTTTTACATAATTGATCATGTTATTTTGAGCGAAGAACCACATTATTAAAACAGATCCAGATTAAAACGACTTTATTATCAAGTTTTTCCATGCTAAAAGTGTCAATCTTGACAGCATTTTTCATACATCCATTTTTTTCCATAGAAAATTTTTTCTTTATTAATTCTCTAGCTATTTAAATAAGAAACAGAGGGCCTCATTATGGCAGTTATACTGAAGTTATTTTTCAAAATTTAAGCAATCATACTAAACATGTGTTTTAAACCTCTGTAATCTATTATTCTTTGCTTGATCTAATATTTACAGTTATTGACTGATTTAAAGAAACCCAAGGTGAAGGCACAAATATGACTCATTTGTTTTATAGAATTTACTATAATGCTGATGTCCTGGACTCTATCTAAGGACATTTCTATTCCAGAAGTATCAAAAGAACTAAACACAGGGAGAATAGAGAGAGAGAAACTTCAGAAAGGTCAATGTACCTTGTGGCTCTCCAGAGTGTAGAAGAAAGAACATGGACAAGGAGAATGAAGCCAGGGATCCGTTCTTAGTTCTGTACTTTATTCGTGACATTTGGAAAATAACTTAAAACACGCTGCACTTTAGTATGCTTATCTGTAGATTGGATTTCTAAATATCTATAACCAATTTTTCATTACGAATAAGCCAGAGACTGTATAGAAAAGTGCTTTTATATAATAAAACACTATAGAGATATTGGATATTGTTACTTATTACAGACAGAACACTAAATTAGACATTGTAATGCTTAGAATGACTGAAAGCAAATTCCTGGAATTTGTCTAGGAGTTGTTCATAATTCTGAATCACAATACCTGTGATATCTTTGTCAACAAGAAATTTCAAAGCCAGCCTGATTTTATACCACTTGAACCTTTCTTTCATTTTTCTTATAATCAGCTTGTTGCTACTTAAAGAATATAAACTAATTTCAATATTAGCTGAAATAGACATAATTAGGAAAGTCAGCATGTAAGGAGAATGTATAATTCAAAGTCCAAAAAGAAAGTAATTTTTTGGTCCCTTTACTATTCATAATTACACCTACCATTGTTTTCTATCAGTTAACAGAAAATATAAAGGAATAATTAAATATCATCTTTTGGGGAATGATTCTGAGAGTGTTTTTTTCCCATTTTGTGTTAGTTATTTCTTTGGAGAGAACTGAAATATTTTCAGATTAATTTCCAAAGTAAAATCTTTTATGACATGGTTCTCAAAAAGGAATTTAGATGAAAGTTAAAGTCTTTAGATGTATTAAATTTTATTTCTCAGGATGGCAGCTATTAGTAACCCCTAGGCACATACTATATTTAAACGTCTCCATTTTGTATGTCCATTTGGGGTTCTATAATAATAAGTATACTCATTCAGGCATGAAAATTATCTACCAGGAATTAATTAGGGGCATGATCTTGAATTTATTTTGTCTTAGGAATACATTTCAATCGATGTTTTACTGTACATTTTTACTTAGAATTTTTAAGCTACAGCTTTCATACAGCTCAGGTTAGATTGGGGGTGGCTAACAATGAGGGCTAAAAACTATATGTCTGAAAATCTAACTGAAAATATAGTTCATCACCTGGGCATTACATTCTAAAATGTCTGAATTGATTAAATTTCAAATGCAAAAAAAAAAAATATCTTGAGGAGCATCAGAGTATTGATTTTAAATTGAAATGAATTATTATGAAATTGTGTACAACTGTAGAAATCATTTTTTCCTGTTACTCTTACAGTTAATCGTATTTCTAACATTATAATTTACTTTTATTAGCAAGATTTGTTGAAGAATGAACAAAATCAAGAAGAAATGATACTGGATTTACTTTGGGACCTCTCCTGCCAGAGCAGCGTTTCATTCCCATCTACTCTAAGTGGAACATCTTTCCATTTCCTCTCTAGGACTTCTCTTCATTCTGTTGAAGATCATTCCTCTATGGATGTAAAGTATATATGGGATGATATAAGACTACATCTTCGACGCTTCTTAGTGAGCAAATTACAAAGCCATAATGAAATAAACAATTCACAGCAAAAAGTTTTGTTGAAAAATCAGTGCATACAACAACTCTTGTTTCTTTATCCAGAATTGGAAGTTATAATCAAGTACCAAAACATACAGAATAAACTGTTGGCTAAACTTCTACAGAACTGCTTTCCTTCTTACGGCAGAGGATCAAATTTAGACATAATGCTTCGTGGATACCAAAGTACAATGCTTAAGTTATACTCAATGATAAAAGAGGATTTTGACACACTGTGTGAAATTTTAGCTCCATCCTCAACAGTGAAATTCATTAAAGAAACTTACCTGGATACTATTACAGAAGAAATGGCAAAATTTCTTGCAAATTTTTGTGAGCTGCAGTTCAAAGAAAGTGCTGTCCGTGTGATTAAAGCAAGCAAGAGCTCCAGCAGGCATAGAGGAGCAGTGCATGCTTTGGGTTAGTGATTTTTAAAATTTCTGCTTGGTTTATCTTAAGCCTTTTGATATCTTTAATTTTCTAAGATTTTTCTGTTTGGTTAAACCTAATTGCAAAGTTGAAAATAAATCAGAAAATAGATGTTATGATATTTTGCAGTACACATTTCTCTTATGCATTCCTTTTTCTGTAAGTATAGTACTAGAAGCGTTTTCTTTCCTGTTATTTAATTTATTAAAGATATTGTAAGTGTAAGTCAAAACTATTGCCAATAAGAGTTTTGGTTTTTTTGATTGCATAAATTATTGGATGAAACTGTATATAGATATATGTGTGTGTGTATATATATATATACACATTTATACATATATGCACATATATATTCAGATATATATATGTAATTTTTAACCCATTGTGTCTTCCAAAGCTGAAGCATTATTAGGTTAAAAAAACTGTTGAAATTTGCATTAACTAAAATTAGAAGTTTAAAATTATAATATTTTAGCCAATTCCAATAAAAAGCTATTGTGAAATACTAATAATAAAATTCTATATTATAATTGGTTACAGAGGCATAGCATTTTAATATAGCTAATTTTAAAAGTTCCTCTAGTATTATTTCTATAAGAATATATACAAATAAAAGATGATTTGAAAATTCCTAATTTTACTCAAGAGATAAATGAAAAAGGAAAGAAACTATTGTGATGTAATAAACTTCTTCCTATCATCATTTAATTTCCCACCAGTGGAGAAAAATCAAGGTAAAAAATATTATTTTGAAAATTATATTAGTCATGCTTTTACATAAAACTCTGAGGTATACTCTGAGGTATATATCTAAATAGGTTAATAAACTATATTTTTTAAGCATTTGAAAATTATCATTTCGTGAATTGCTATCTTTGAATTTATGATCCCCTTATAAAAATTTCCGTAGCTCACTATATTTTTACTCACCCTCCTTAATAAAGTGCCAGAATACCAAACTACTCTGATATATGAATTTTCAAATACTTTAAAGTTTTCTCTTAAAATTTTTATTTTCTCTCGGAAGCTGTATCACATCACAGGACAGAGATGCATCAGCCAAGTTTATGTTATGGCAGAATAGAAAGTCAGTTAATTTAGGAACATTACAATTCTGCTCTAAGCATATAGATTTTCATTTTAATTGTTAACACAAATTTTAAATGCATTTCATGAGTGTACTTATTTTCTAAAACTTTTATATTCTCTAAAAAAATTTCTGCTTATTTATGAAGTATTTTCAATATGAAAGTTTTATATGTGCTAAATATAGTTTATAACAGAAGAAAAGATCCATATGGTTGAAAATATGTGTAAGTTGCTATGGAGTCTTTAGGGCTGATATTGAGGTGTTTTCCCACTCGTGAAAGAAAACTATGTGCCTTGGCTTTAACACCAAAATTTAAAACATTTTCTACAAGTCCGGGTGCGCTGATCTATCTCAAGCTCCTTTATCTGAACTTTAGTTGAAATCACTTGTTAAATGAATACTTTCCATATGCCCAGCACTGTGCTAAGTACATCCCATTCCTTATTATCCCATTTTCGTTAACAAGGAAGGAAGCTTAGAAAGATTAACTTGCCCTGGATCATGTTGTGCAGAGTCAGGATTCATATGTAGGTCTTTGTGTCTCCAAGACCCGTATTCTCAACCATTATGCTATTTGACCTTGTCTCAAAGTGTAGAATTAAATGCTTTGTCACTTGCAAACGAAATTTCAAACAGCACTGTACAAGTGGGCTGCTTGAAAATCAATTCAGTTCGGCTTTATTGAGCACCTACCATTATTAGCAAGGCGTTTAGCAGCTACCATGTTTAAGGTTCTGAGCCAGACACAGTGAGGGGAAGAAAACTAAAGGGGTAACTGCTGCTAATGCTGTATGAGAACTGCTAAACTAACTCTTAATGGATCAACCATACTTTCTACTAATATTTGACCTAATGACTAAATTTTATTTATTAAGGAAATACAGTTTTAAATGAGGAAAATAATAATAATAATTTATTAATATTTACCAATAAAAATTGTAACAATTTATATTCCTGTTTGAATAAAATGTAGATTGGCTTGAATAGGTTGTATATTATTTTTATATATGTCTATATCTTTATGTTCACCAAGTCTTCGATATTTATCCTGAAACTATGGAAAAGATATTCCTTAAGTAACAATGGCTAACATTTATTGGGTCAGACATTGATGTGCCTTGTCTTATTTAATCCTTCTAACCAACTTAGAAGATAGGTACAATTATTTATTATCTCTATTATACAGTGAGGAAGCTAAGGCAGAGAGATATTAAGTAATTACTCAAGGTTACAGAGTGAAGCCCGGATTCAAACTCAGGTCTGTCTGACTCCAGAGCCTTTACTCTATGTCTGTGCTCTACTGCCTAAGAGAACAGGAAGGAAAAAGCACATTGCATTAAAAACACTGCTCTGAATCCTCTGTATGCTGACTCTACTTTAGCATAGTCATTGTTCTACTTGTCTCTAAACTGTCTCACACGTCTCTCATTTGAAGACTGCATAATGCCAATTAGAAATTTTTTTGCTTATAATTCCAATTTTGTGATCTATCGATATATCTTAAGCAGGCCTTGTATGTATACCAGTTTTTTTGTCTCCAGTTTCATTAAGATATAATTGACATATAACATTGTGTAAGTTTAAGATGTACAACATACACTATAGCTTGTATGTTTTGTTATTTGAAGAAAATGATGAAATAATGTTAATATAAATATTACAGTGTCTTTGTGATTTGGTGATCTATCCTAGAAAAGAATAATATTATTTTTACAGATACTCTTTTACAAAGTTTCAAGAATGATTTAAGAACCAAGACTTTCTTAATAACTCTGATTTTATTAATCTGTATTCTTAGAGTTTCTCTAATAATTTTTGAGGAAAATTATAAATTACTTTATAAAGGTTTATACTACACTATTTTATTTTTTCATTTAGTTTATAAGGCTTTAAAGTCAAAATAAACAACTTTCAAAAAGCTAGAAATTTGCATTTAGCATTTTGATTACAACCTTGTTTGTCATTATCTGGGGAGTCAGATCCATATTTACACATGTACAGGTGTCATCTACATTTCAGGAGACTAGTACCATTCTTATATTGTAATATTCTTCTGTGTCTATATTTGGAGTGATTAAGTGACCAAGTTACTTTTAAAATAGTATTTTCTTTGGATTTAAGAAAAGTTATTGCTACTTTTCTCAATGCTTGAAAAAGAGGATTGTTTACATGTAATAAACTTCAGTTAAATAAATCCTCTGTATTTAATATGAAATGATGCAATTAAGAGATTTCAGTCATAGAATAAATTTCATAGTCCCCAGTATATCTTACCCTGAATTTTTCTAGAGGTTACTGTTAGCTTGAAAGAGAAAGACTTAAGAGAGTATGATATGTGGCTTTGAATATTTGGAAGGTCTAAAAATCTGCAGCAGATGAGAGTTTGAACCTGAGTGGCCTGTAAAGCCACTTGCCTTTCACAGTCTCTTGCTATTTTGTTTAGGGAAGATTGGGGGTAAGGGAAACAGAATCCCTCAGGGGATGAAAAGATCCTTCAGGGTGAAGAAGGCCCTCAAACCAAAATAAAAGTAGAATTCTTGGCTAGGGAGTCACAGCTTAAAGTCACCCTACTGTCTCTCCTACTCCTCAAGTAGTTCTGACTAGCTGAATGGTGATCTCAGGGAAAGGCGAAGGAGTATACTGAGGCCAGTATGCAAAATGCATACAAAAAGAAGCATTCATAGGAGTACTGTTACAGAAGAGACTAAGCCTCCTAGGATACTGCCTCTGTTCACCCTGTTGTGCTCCTGAGACAGAAGTAAAGATCTCCATTTGATCGCTGATGACAATTATGCTTGTTATTAGTTGAAGCTGGAATTTCAAGTAATACAAAACAGTAAATGGGAAAAAAATTCATAAGAGAAAGTAATATCTTTATTGAATTAGCACAAATTTCTTTAAAATAGTAATAAAGTTTCAGTGTTTTTTGCTGTATCATTGTTGAAATGATGATCTTTTTTCTCCCCACTGCTTTATCATAATTGCTATTTTTTAATGAAATACTGATGTATTCCTTGTTTACAATTTCTTTAGTCTCAGAAAGTGAAAAGTGCTCTTGATTGGGAGTCAAGGGTTCTAGTCCTAAATCTCCCACCTCCTTGTTTCGTGACGTTAGATAAGTCATTTAACCTCTTTCAATTTTTCTAATCAATAAGATGGAAGGGTTATATTAGGTAATATCTAAGGACCTTTTAACTCTAAACTTTTTCTGACTCTGTAAGTGACGTTGAAATCATTCCACAACCAGAGTTTAATCCTACAATTTGTCGTTGGAAACTGCCACATTTATTTTCTCTACTGGCAGTACAGATGTATTAACTGGCTAAGCATGTGGCTTTGTATGCCACGGTAGCAGATGCAAAAGCCTCCTTTAGATCTGTATCTGTGTGATTTTTCTTTTGCAAGTGGAACTTGAAAATAACAATATGAAAACTGCCCACTTCTTGTGGTTACATTTTTTATGAGGATGGAAGGGTGGGTGATTAAGCAAAAAAGGAAGTCTCCTTCCAGCTTACATCTGAAGCTATTCCTAGTAATTCTTGTCTGGGTTTCCCCTTTGATCCCACAACCAAATGTTTTTGTTTTGTTTTATTTTTAGTTTCTTTTTTTTATTTTTATTTTTATTTTTTTGTAGGAGCATCTTTAATCAGATAATTGAAAATTAAGATCACAGGCAAGTACTGGAAATGTAATTATTTTTCTGTATTGTTGATTGAAAGAAATCCATATCCCTTTCCTCTGGCATGTATTTAAAGCAGGCAAGGCAGGGATTTAATAATGACTTGTGTTTTGGCCTCGGGAAGAACTGGCTCGTTTCTGCAAGGCTGTAGACAGTAGGCATTGACAATACTATTTCTCAGAAAGTATCTCTGGATCCATACAGATGCTTGTATAAGTACAAAATGAAGCCTCAGAATTAGTCCTATAAAGCATGGAAGAGTGATCTTGTCCTAAGAGTCTGTGGGTAAAAATTTCAGAAGCCATATTTTAATGAAACATTATACATGTTAAACTTTTGTAAATAATTTTAGTATTTTTTTCAGCATGTAAAGAAAGTCAAAAGTGGTGATTTGGGTTTTAACATAATTGATCCTAAAGCCTTTCCTTCTGCCATTTATGTCACATGGCATGTTCAGTGTCTTCTTGAGGCTTCTCCTAGAATATGCTAAGACAACCATGCCATCAGCAGAGAGAAGATTTTTCTTCCCTTTTTGTGAGTCAGGAGGGCATTTGCCATTCAAT